TGTATATGTATATATATATATATATATATATATATATATATATATTTATATATATACAGTGAACCCTCGTTTATCGCGGGGGTTACGTTCCAAAAAGAACCCGCGATAGGCGAAATCCGTGAAGTAGAAAACTTAATTTTTTTTTACAGTTATTAAATAGTTATGAAATGCTCCATAAAACATTGAAATCAAGGAACAAAAAATTTTTACAGGCCCAAGCATTTGTTTAACAAATAAAAGAACTGTATAAACGTTTGTTGTTGTTTTTTTTTGTTTTTTTTTTATCTTCAATTTTATTTTAATCATCAATATGAACTGAAGGGTTAATATTGCGGGGATCAGCACCGCCCCACTGTGACGAATTGGAACGGGAGAAAATGAAAAAAGATTATGAAAAAAAATACAAAGTACAGCAGGACAAATAGAGACTCAAGTGTACAGTACAGTATTTCAGTGCTGTTCTGACGGAGGCGCTGCATCCTGACTCTGCTCTGTGGCGTTTTTTTCTTCTAAAGCCTGTGGTGCAGGTGTGTTTTTTGGAGAGAAGAACATAGTTATCGGTGGTTGTTGTTGCTCTTTTTTCTTCTGGGCCAAAAGATCCTTAAAAACCGAGAAGGAGCGAAGAGACTGTTTATCCAACCAGAATGCAGAACATAATGCATGATGCACAATTCAACGATTAACTGGATTCCCTCCCGCTATCATTGCAACCCCCTTACAGGGGAACAGAAGACCTCGCCTATTCATCACTTTAAAGACATCCCTTTCAGAGACATAGACAAAAGCCAAATGACCCCCATTCCAAAGGGGCGGACCCGTTCGTCTGTTTCAGTTTGCATCTTTTTTAAACAAGAACAAGGCTTTGTTGGGCTACTGTATAAAACCTCGAACTCAAAGCTTTTTCTGAAATGGATGGGAAGCGAAACATCTTCAAACTTGGAAACAAAGTCCAGTGGATTGGGTTTTTTTTACTTCTTTGGAATGACATCAGATGTAACATGCTAAAATGTTTAATAGGGAATCAGAAACGTTCTAAAACATATTTAATGAAGGTTCAGTTTACTTGGATGCAGACAGTGGGAATGAATTTTCATTTGAATCTGCTCGACTTCTCTTTGCTTTTCAGTGTGACTCTGGGTTTCAGTGGCCTCCAGAGAAACCTTGTCCAAAGGCTTGTGCCTCCCTGGAGAGAGTAATAGAAATCCAGAGTAAGTAGTAAGCCTAGTGGTGTCCACATGGAGCACCACAGCACTCTGTAAGCCTCATTGTTGTTGTTCCAGGCAAACACTGGCCGTGTCTCCAGAGCTTGTCTCAAACCAGCGGCCAGTCCCTCCTTGCAGGGTCACCAGGGGCCCAGGGCCAGTCTGAGAGGGATGAGGCTGAGACGGTCAGCGCCATGGCCTCACTGAGTGTTGATGTGGAGCAGCCATGTTCAGTTCCTGAAAGCAAAGAAACCAGCAGGTCAGTGGTTTCTGTTAGCTTTTTATAGCTTTAACTGATCCATAATACCTTTTTTAAATTTGGAAGTGATAAAAAAGGGAAAAAGATATTTCCCTTTTTAGATTAAAAATATCTTAATTTTTTTCATTTATTATTGTTGACCAATCCCCTCATCTTCTATAGCCTCTTTTTGGCTCCACCCTTCTCTTCATCATCTCTGACCAGCTTTGCATTATCTCCTAAAGCATCTCAGCAACAACGTGTTCATGTTGCAGGAGCTTCTGTTGTAGCCCCACCTGACACAGAGCAACTTCCTCACTGTAGCAACAGTTAGAAGGCTGATCCTGGACTGATGAGTCAAAGGAAGCCCTTTTTAGGTCATATTTATGTATTTGTTAGGAAGAAGGTTTTTGGTATTAAAGGAAAAGTCCGGTCACCAAAGAGATAACCAATCTATACCTAAAACTAATATGTTTGCAGTGATTTAATGAATTTCACGTTAAACAGTAAAAAAACAATGTTAGAGTCCTGAAACGGTCATTTTTGCCCAAATATAAGTAACACCTCCCTCCTGACATCTTCCAGGCAGTGACATCACGGTTCGGTAAGCCTAGCGCCACTCTCCCCGCTTTACAAGCAAAATCAGTGGGAACTATTAGACACATCTGCAATCAACAACAATTATTAAACATTTCCAGAGGACTTCACCATTGAAATTCATCAGAACTATAGTGAAACTGAAGATGCCCATGGCATGGCAGCTGGATGTTGGAATACATCGGGTAAAAGTGGAAAAAGAAGAAAAAAAAATTATTCCACCTTTCTGATTCCTGATCCTCCACGGACGGGTTCGTCGTTGGATTGTCAACTGAAGAGGGAGGATTTGCCATCTAACTTCTGGACAGAGAAAAAAAAGACGTCATAAATCTGTTACTCTCTACTTCGCATAATGGTCGTCATGGATAGTAGTGTGTTGTGACAAACACCAGATACAATGGTTATATGGAGCACCACATTTCTGGGGGTGCACATCACGGACAACCTCAGCTGGACTGTAAACACCACCACTGGTCAAAATCGCACAGAAGCCGAGAATTCCTGCGGAGTATGAGGAGAGCCCACCTGCCCCCACCTATCCTCACCACCTGCTGCTTTTATACATGGGGCGTCTTTATTATAGAAAGTGTTTTTTTTGTTTGTTTTTGTTGTTTTTTTTGCAGGAGATTGATTGGTTTTGGGGAATCAGGGTGAAGGGGTAAAAAAACAAAACACAAATGAAAAAGATTCCCAGATTTTTATTTGAAAAGAGTTCTTTTTGAAAAACAAACAATGGTTTGCTTTGTCACAAAATGATTCAATGAATAATTCCGGTTATGCATTAATTATACCAGTATCACCAGTGGTCATATAAATAAGTAATTTGGATTTATGTTCTCACAGGTCAACAGAGGAGCCAATGGAGGAAGAGCCTGTCTTGTAAAGTGGAACTCATTCCCAGAGAAGACAAAAACACCTCCACCTCCTTCTAGCACCTCCTGCTCCTCCATAGTGTGTATGTACAGACACACACACATACACAGCACACACATAGGTAGTGTGGGACTGAATGCTTGTGGAGGACTCTGATTGGCTGAAAACATTCACACGAGGTAGGCGAGGCAATCCTGTACAACAGCAGGAACGCATCTGTTTTCCTCTGGTTCATCCGTGAAAGGAGGTGCAGACGACTTGTTGGCATCTCCGTGGAAACCAAAGACGAGGAGCATCAGCAAGGTCTCATTTTTCTATACAGCACCAGTTCACAACATCACCCGACTTTGTCCAGTTGTTCTTCTTTTTTATTTCCAATCTACGCCTCTGTGTCCTCAGAGGAACGGAATAAAAAAAAACTTTTATCTGGTCGGAATGTCGGACATCGAGCGGACGACTTGTCTTCTTGAGTCTGTGTCAGTGAAAACATCAGGTGAAACGTGTTTTTACAAAATACTGGGGGAGCAAGAACTATTGGTGCCTTTTTCTCTGTCTGATAACACGAATTATTCAATCAGAATCTACATTTCACTGCCAGTGCACCTCAGCCAAGCAAACAGCCAATAAGGACTGAAGAACTGGTCGGATGGAGAACACACGGCCACACATATACTGCTGTTGCTTTACTCACTCAGTGTATATCGTATTGTTTCTTATATGTGTTTTTCATCTGAATGCCTTAGTTTTTCATCTTTTTTTCAACGAAGATGGGATCAGAGGATTTGGTGAGCTGTACATTTTTCAGGTATTCCTAAAAAGACATCGTCAGCACAAGTGGAAATGTTTTGTTTTCTTTTTTTATTTAAAAAAAGAAGAAGCTAATTTGAATGTTTGTAGTTAGGTTAATGTAAAATCAATTCTGAGGATACTATCTCAGGATACGTTCACCTTATACAAAACATGTGCATCACAATGCGGTCCTTCAAACCCATCGGTTGTTTCTTTTATAAGTCGTGTGACCTGAGCCCCCACCCTATTCTCTTCTCTAAAGGAGATTTTGGATTCTGGCACTTTTTCAAATATTACAATGGCTTCCCCTTGCTTTCATTGTATAATTAACACTAGTATTTCTTTTTTGGTGTAATTACTGTCCACCATCAAGTTGCACACTGTAACATCACAGCATGTGGTAGTGAGGTCTGTTTTTACTACATCTGTACATATGTGTATGAATAAACTACAAAATACTTTCTCCTTTGTATGAAAATGGAAAAAAAAAACAAATATTTAAACAGTGTTTTAACCAATCAAATTAGATTTCTGAATATATTCTATTGGAAAATCTGATATTTTAAACATTTGGCTATTTGACAGGGAGCTAGTGCACGGCTTGATGGCAACCGCCGTCACCGCAGCCTGCTTGTTTGTTTGTTTACAGATGCCAAGGGATGAATGGATGTGTCTTTTGGTGGAGGATGTTGCGCTGGCAGGACCATTACTCTGTACCGTATGGCGTCACATGTTAAACTACTTCTGCGCGTGCTTTATCTACCACCGCACAACAAAATCACACATGCGTGAGAAACTTCCGGTTCGAAAGGGAAAAAATAGCTCTCTGCGCACACTGGGGATGGTGCTTGGGATCTCATAGCTGCTCTCTTGAAAGCGTCTCTGCCCTCGGACCGTTTTTCCTGCTGCGCAACGGAAAATGTGTTTTAACTGGTTGGGCAGAGACAAACCTCTTCTGTAAGCCTCCTCCTGATTGGGCCTTGTAGACACAATCACAGGGGAAGTAGTGTCAGGAAGCCTTTGACTGACAGCCTGTCATCCATAAAGGAAGACGACGGCTGGATGCGGGACAGTGGCGGCGGCTTCTCCAACGTTTGCGGTAGGTGGGATAAGTGTCATTCAAAGGCACACAAATTAAAACAATTTCACCCATTTGACTTGAGGACTTGACGACACTGAATACATTTGTGTCGTGTTTTTTGGCAATTTGACTGGCCTCTAAAAACTACTGTCAGAATGTTATAGAAAAATGTTGGCTCGTTAAAAATCTAGGATTAATTCGCTCATTCCTTTCATGCTTTGGGTTTAGTCCAGTTGCTTTGCTTCTGTACATTCTGTTGAACCATAAGCTAAACTTTCTTGCTAATTGCAAGAATATATATGGATGACACAATGATTAATAAAGCCCAGTTTAGTTACTTCACAAACAAACCACTTCATCAACTGAAGATGTAAAAACCTCAGAGCTGGACCCATCTGTTTAACCAGTGCTGCTAAAAGCTTACAGGTCACATATACTCACATTAGTTCACCTAACTGTAACCGGACATGCAGAGCTGCAGCGAAAATATCTGCATTCAGGTCACATCCTTTCAAAGCAATATCAGAGTGATGGACTTCAAATACTGTTGGATCCTACTGCAGTGTTGATGTGATAGCACAACAGGAAGCACGAGCACCTGGATGATGTGTGGGGGTTTATCTGCCTTCATACACTCTTGTTTGTGTTATCTGTTTGGTGTCAGTCTATGGGGCACCTTACACAGCAGTGTTGCTGTGGTAAACTTATTGGGAAGTCAAAGGTGAGCAGTAAGAGCACCAAGTTTGATGGTGCACGATCTTGTCAGCGGCAAAGGTTGACAGAAGTTTAATAAGCACAAAGAAACAGAGAAATTCAAGGGACATTTGGGTCTTTAAAGCAAATGTGTTACCATTAATAGTTTCCCTGCTGGCAGCGTGTTGTGGTATAAAAGTGAAAAATTCCTTAGATTGGTCAAGGGCTAAAAGCTAATTAGACAAAACATGAACCTGTTTACCTGTTGGAAATCAGACTTTATTAGCAGATATGGAAACATCTGTACTTTTGCTTGACATGTCATTATAGTTTGTTGCTTTCTCTGTCAAGCAGCATATATTTTAATATTTGACTGGCTTCATCGATCTGCAGTAAGGAAGTCTAAGGAATTTAAAATGCACCATTAGATGTGTCACTACAGGGTGTGAAAAGCAATGTTTTCTTACATTTGTTTATTGATTTATCCTGATACTTTTTACTTTATTTTGCTGAGACCAAAATTACAACGATCAAACCCAACCAAGCCGGTGGAGATGGTGGCTGCTCTGTCCACACATGGTTTCTACACCGGCTGTCTGCAGAATCATGGCTTTAAAGTTGTGAAGAGTTTTCACAGCTTTACTGATGTTAAACATAATGAGGGGAATCTCACCACACTTTAATTCTTTTGCTACTTAAACTGATGCTGTATATTTCCTCACTCTTGATACTGTGGTGTAACTGTAGTATCCTTCTGTACAGTGGTGTGGGGGGAGTGGGGGCAGCTCTGGGCCTTCATTCTGGATGTCTTCTCCCTCCCCTGAGGATTCAGGAGAGATCTTCTCTCTGTTACATTTTCTTCATTTCTTCCTTCATCACTGAATTGTTTTCAGAAGACAGCGTTTCTTTGTGGTTACAGTTGTTGGAACTTATGACAAACACATTCCTGAATCCTGTCCATCTGTGATGTTGATTTTTATTTTTTTATTTTTGCTAATTCTTTGCCGTTGCAATGGTCTTTGTCTAGTTCTCGCTGATTCGTGTAAATAAAGTGCATATTTGTGTACACACGTGCAATACACGCTACTCAAGCAATCTATTACTGTGACAAATATTGTTGATAGTTGCTACATTTTGAAGTTTCAGCCTCATTTTGCTCTGTGTCCTGATGAAGGGTGATGGATTCTAAAGGGAAAGCGACTATTGTGACTCCTCACCCTAAGTTTGAATTCAGGGGTTTGTGGAAATTTAATAAAGCCCTTTTGTTTTTGAGAACTCACTGTAATGTTGTGGCGATCTCAAGTTTTTTTTTTTATTGTTATTATTATTAATACTATTTTAAGTGGGCTTGTTAAATTTGTCTGGAAACTCAATAAAGCGATTCACCATTGCCGCTGTCTGTGTGTGATTTAGGCCGATGTGTAGATCTGCAACTATTAGAGGCGGTTATCTACAGTTGGTTTTATCAGTGAAAGAGACAGTGGTGAGAAATATTTGATTCCCTGCTGAAGTGTAAGTTTTAGGTTAAGAATTTTTATGGTTGAGTTTTTCTTCCTTTAAGCCAGATTTATTTTTAAAGGTTTACAGCTGATCAGAAATTCTCTGCTTAAAATACAGCTGACAGTTAAGAACAATATAAACATTTTTTCACACTCTCGCAATAAATTAGTCTTGAATTGTTTTTGGTCTTTTAAGTTTATAGAAACAGTTTCTTTTTTTTGCCTGACTTTTTTCTGCATTCCTCAAATCTGGTTTCTTTAGCCTTATATCATGAGGCCTTAACATAGCTTTCAAAAGCAAAACACATTTTATGGCTTTGTTAGCTGTTTAAAAAAAAGGTTAAAGAGCCAAGCCATACATCAGGCTTCTTTTTTGTGTGACATAATATATCAAGTACATTTTGATTTCAAAATACTATTTTAAAACAGGTCTGTTTCCCCTGCATTGTCAGGCATATAAAAATAATCTGACAGTGGAATGAGTATTAAATGGGATAATGCAATTTTTAATTAGATTATGGAGATGTTTTTTATTTTAAACCCAAAACCTAATTTCGTTTAAACAGGGTTCCCGCGGGTCCTTAAAAAGTCTTAAAAGGCATTGAATTCTTCAAAATAAGATTAAGGCCTTAATTGGTATTAAAATGTCTTAAATCAGTCTTTGGTACGTCTTAATTTTTAAAATATCATAAATAAGATTATTTTTATTACGATTTTTTTTTGTTATCTGAATAAAACATTAAAATTGACAATTAATTTTTCCTTTTAATAAAAAATAATAACATCTCGCCATTATTGGTTCTGTCCCGATAGCGAACCAATAAAAGCGTTGTTGCGGCCGGGACATTTGGGATATGCCTTTGGGTTAAGTTGTTGCAAGCAGGTTTTTCTTGTGTTTCTTGTGAATTTGGTCTTAAATTTTTATTTCAAGTGGCATTAAAAAGTCTTAAAAAGTCTTAAATTTAACTTGCCTTATGCTGTAGGAACCCTGTTTAAAAGACGATTTTAGTAACCTACTCAAATCAAGTGAGAATAACTTTTAGATCAATTTTATCCACATTTTACCTTTATTGTGGATACAAACTGGTCAAACATTTTTATGGAAGTATTTACACGCCACTAATATGGGAATATTCATCCATATCATTCAGGAAAGGAAATGAAAACATTTTTTAGGACCTTAGGAAAAACACAGAAGATCTTATAAGGACACTGGCTGATCCTGATTAGAGTGAATGAAGAACTGCAGCAACAAAATAAGCCAGACAACAAATAATTATTTAAGTATTAAGGAGGAAAAAAAAAAGGCCTCATGTAAAAACCTCATCTTTGGTTCAACTTGACGGGACCTAGAAGTGAGTACTGAGAGACCCGTGGAATCAAAGACAGTTTGAAGGCGTAGGTTGTCTTGCAGCTTTGTTACTGATGCGATGACTGTAAAGCGCTTTGGGACCCTCTGACTTGATAATAAAGGTGAGTATTGACATGGGTGTTGCGATACTCAATAAATTGGGCTACAATACGATATTATCACGATTTTGCAATATCACTATATATTGCAATATGTTTTCCAGCTATCAAATTAAATGTATAGAAAAAAGCAAGTGCTGTAAATGTTCATCAGAAGATATTGATAATTTAGGTATTTTGGCATCCATAATGTTTGGAGTTTGAGTCATGACTGCCTCAACTGCAGATATGGCTCAGCGTTCCACAGCAAATGAGCTCCACAGCGCCATCTACCAGAGTGGTGGTGCAGAGGTTGCCCATTTTCCCTCATCTATTTTTTGGAATCTGAATTTGAGACTTAAGAACTTTCTCAATTATTTTGGTGAAAAGGTTTCCACCACAAGGGCTCTAATCTTACCTCCTGACTCTTATCCTTGCTCTGTGGGTTTTACAATGTTTGAGCTTTTCTAACTAATGTGGTAACAGATCTGAAACCATCAACCAGGTTCCCCTCAGGATCCTGTTCCTCACATTTATTTATGGAGGTTTTTTATTGCATTTCTCAGATTGTCCTTACCCTTTATCAATGTTAGTCTCTGTTCTGGTGTGGTCTTTACAAAACTTAAATATGCAGTAGTTACACCTCTTCTCAAGAAACCAGGACTGGATCAATCTACATTTTCAAATTTCAGGCCTATTTCTACCATTTGTTTCAAAAGTTTTGAAAAAGATTGTTTTCTCTCAGCTAAAAGCTTATCTGGAGGAAAGTTACCTCCTTTTATTCTGGGTCTAAGGCTCGTCATAGTACTGAATCAACATTGCTAGAAGTTTTTAATGGTATTCTCTTGGCCTGTTACTCTGGTAGATATATGATTGTATTTCTGCTGGATCTAACGGCTGCTTTTGACATGGTTGACAATCATATTCTGGTAAAATGTCTGAATAAATTAGTAGAGATCCAGCACACTGCTTTTAACTGATCTTTCTATGT